CAAATACTTGTCGGGACGAAGCTGCATGTACTTACCCGGATTTAGAGATAGCGTCTTCAAGGAAAAACTGGTCGACGGGGAAGGTACGACCTGAAGAGAGAGAAAAGTTGAGAAAAGAAGCAACCAATGGAAGGAGGTGTCCTATTTGAACATGTATTACGCATATCTGAAACAGACACCACAGCTGGGTTACTACCTGGTATGTGCACCGTGGGACAGTTGAAGAAATACTCAGAGAAGAGGTTGGCATTAAGTGTGGCGCTCATCAGAATGATCTTCAGGTCTGGCCTCTGCATGATCAGGTCTTTTAAAACCAACAGCAGGAAGTCACTGACAAAGAGAAGAGGAAATCAAGACCAAGCAAACCGGTTACAGAGAGTCAACATGTGACCTGTAGTGGCATTGACCCAAAGACACATGTTGAGTTGTATACACTGTTGGAAAGAGGAGATTCCTAGCTTTCTGATGATATCAGGATTCTTTTTGTTCTCCAAATATTAAGCTAAATATGTCACATTATATAATGACTGTCACCGAGTCATCATTTTTGAGAGAAAGGCCTTCAAAGTTTCCTCCACCGGAATCCATCGATCTGATTGGTTATCAGCAAATTATCAAAATACTCGCGAGTGTGTGTTTGTGTATTTTTGCGTTTGTTCGTATTGTGTTTGTTTCCCGGGGAACACCCTCTCGAGAAACACCGGCTGTTGTTACGCCTGCTGTGACGTCAAGTTACTCCGTTCTCCGCTTGTATTTATGCCGTCACAAGCTTCAAAGTTCTATTTATCATGTGAATTTGCCGAAACAAGTTTAATATTCTGAATGCCAAGACTTTGTAGATTTGAAATCAGATGAAAATCAACCTGTAACGGACCCTGCCGTGTTATCTATGATTACTCTACGCCTTGCATTCATAATGTCAGCCGGAGGGAGGGGGGGCGGCGCTGCGGAACAGCAGGGTGGCGAGCGAGAGCTGTCTTCTTCCCTTTACACGCTTCAAACATGTATTTATCATGTGATTTTGGAAATGAAAGTTTCATATTCTGAAAACCAAGACTTTGTTTATTTAAAATCAAACAAAACCACCCGAACCAAGAAAAACAATTTTTTTACATAAATCCACGTTTATTTTGAAATGAGCCGTTTGCGACTTCCGACTGATTTCGATAGAGCGGCTCACATATTATTTGCGACGGTCATGTATGAGATAAATGAAATTTAAAAAGATTTTAAGGGGAGACAAAACAGGTTTTCAGAATTGCTATGTTCGAATATGCAAACGAGGCATTATCTAATGTTACCTTTAGGTGTGTTTAAATAAACTGAAGTAGGGCCGAACTCAAATGTGGGATTTGGAGGTTTTCTTTCCAGTCGACTGAAAGACAGAATGTAATGGTCTAAATGAAAAGTGTCTCCCCATAAGTGTCTGCTCAGATGCATTCGGAGGAAAGCCTACGTTCTGCACCCTATGTGAGGGATTTGCATAATCTCACCTCTCCTCTGTTCGCTCGTGCACCTCATCCACAATGACGTGCGATACTCCTTTGAGGTCTGCCTCGCTCTCCAGTCTCCGCAGTAACACGCCGGTGGTGCAGTACAGCAGTCTGGTGGCAGCCGACTGAAAAGAGACAGACGCATAAAGCTACATATAGCTAGGAATCATACGCAACACAGAAGTCCTGTCTGGAACCTTTGGCTAAAAAAACGTGCATCAATTCAAAATGTGGCCGTACCCGAACGGTCTCCAGGCGGATCTGGTAGCCCACAGAGTTGCCGAGATTCTCCGCTCGCTCCTGCGCCACTCTCTGGGCCACAGAGATGGCAGAGATTCGGCGTGGCTGAGTACAGATGATGTTCACCACCTGATCTGCCGGACCCCCTAAAGAGGCGTCCAGAATGAACTGAGGGATCTGAGTGGTCTTACCACACCTGCAGAGAAGTTACAGAACAAAAACATTTAACAGAGGCATAGCAGGTGTATGAAGAGCTTCTTGATATTCACCAGTTATTTGCATCTTCATGGGGTTTTTAATTGATGTATTTTTAAGTATTTCACATATGTACAACATGGAAGGAAAGAGGTTGTTACTTAATAAAATATCATCATATTTTAAAGGTTATACAATTTATTTTAATGCACTCGTCAAAAAAGGGGTATTTTGCATGTAAGCTTTAAGAGTGGTGAAAATCAAATATCCAAAATAATTAATATTTCCACATACTAGTATTACATTCGTTTGTAATAGCATTTTCCTGATCTGAGTCCTTGTGAATGGGAACAATGAACACCGAGACCCACCCAGTCATCCCGCTGACAACAAGCACCTGGCACCGCTCCAGCAGGTCCAAGATGTTCTCTTTTTCGTTCCAAGCGGGCAGTTTCCTCCTCTGCTCCAACATGGACCTGAAACGCCCCGATGACTGAGTGGACAGAGGGATGGAAGGACGGCCGTGAGTTATCCCAACATACATCATGTTGGATAGAATACGTTATTACGATGAGTTGTCCTTTACCTGCTTCTTCTTAAACTCCCGGCACAGCTTGCCATTTTCTTTCTGCATGTTGTCGATCTTCATGTTGTGCTTATTCACCATCTTCTTCCTCAGGTTGACGTAACTCTCAGTCTCGACTGGAACGTCCTCCTCATCGTCGTCCTCGTCGTCCTCGTCCTTCTCATCCAGCTCCTCCGCCTCCACTTTCTCTTTCACTTTAAAGACAGAGATAGGACTTCAACTCTTACACACATAACTTATAACGCTGAGTGCAAAACATTTAGAATAAATAGGGGAACTCGTCTCACAATCAATGTGTCTCTGGTTGGTAGGTGGTGCTGTCCTCCTGCTGTTGGCACTACTACTCCTGCTGTCCTCAGTAGCGTTGCTCCTCACGCTCTTACTCTTTGCTATGGGAACAGAGGGTCGAGGGAGCACCAGCACAGGCGGAGGCGTGCTGTATTTGTGATGCTGGACAGCCAGCAGTTCCTTGATGGCAGATTCATCTTCACACATTGTGATCAGGGTGTAAACCACAGGTTCGTTGCTCTTTGCTGCGGCCAACGCTTCTGCGAACAATTTCTCCGTCACGCTGAGCCTCCCCGCGGCCCCCAAAGACACATCGGTGGTGCTGAAGGCGACTATTGGTGCCTGAAACGGGTAACGGTTTCCTTTGGGAAAACGCACCTCTAGTTCATACTCATTAGAGGAAAAGCTGCTGAAGCCAGGCTGGCTCGGGCCCTGAGAGTCTGGGGAGCCTGATCTCCCTTTAGTGGGGAGCTGGTGCTTGAACTTGCATTTGTCCCCAAAGCGACAGCCTTGCCCTTTCAAAAAGAACCGGCAGACATCTCGGATGTGGACGACTCCGTCACCACCTCGACCATGCCTGCCATTCTTGGCTGCATTGTCAGAGAGGAAGGACAGGTCCAGGGTTACAGTCCACACTGTATTGGCAATGCGCTCGTTGAAGCGCTCACCGTAAATGGCAGCGAGAGCCAGAGCTTCTTCCTGCCTCTGGCTCAAACACTCATCCCTAGGCACCACTTCAAGGCCATCAGGGGAAACAGCTTTCTGGCCGTAGCGCTCACTGAAAATCTGGAGGAGGAGCTTTTCCAGAGTGGACCCAAATTCCCCTCCACTAGCCTCCAATGCCTGCTTGCCACGCTCCCTGTCAAAGCCATACCTACAGAACAGAACAATAAGAAAAGAAATGTTTAGGTTTATTAGGAGTCAATCGTTTAGCTGTATCTGAACCCGTTTTCCTAATCTTCTCCAAAGTTAGGTTCTTAAGAGCCCAGCAGCAAAACACTGGCTTCAGATGAAAAGCAGGATAACAAATGTGTTCACTACCTGCAGAGTTTTCCTATGGCGAATAAGGAGAGGACAGGTTCAGGGGTGGGCCGTTCCTCATCAGACGACTCGGTCAGATACACCGGGCTCTCTGCCTTCTCCACAGGCTCATCAGTTGTGGCCCAAAACTGGCCCTCGTCACGGTGGTCCAACTCATCAATTTCCTCTTCATCCTCTTCTTCTTCAGAATAATCTGAATCAGATTCACTGAGGCAGATAGAATGATATGATTACTTGTGGAATGGAAAAGGAAAACTATCGATATAATTGATATATTTAGTAGAATGTGCTTACTCGTATGGCTCATCAAAGTCCCGGGTCTGCAGATTCCGCAGCAGCTCCTTGAGTTGTTCTTGGTTCTCAGTAGTCATGAAGATCTTCTGCATGGGCATGGTGCTCATCTCCGGCCGGACGCTGTCACCTGGCTTTGGGCTTGTTCGGGTCCTCGCCAGGGACCTTGGGAGAGGCTTGCTGCTGCTTTTCCCACGATCTCTTCCTCGACCTCCATCCCTTCCGCCACCACTGCTTCCGCTACCACGACCGCCACCTCTGCCCCCACCACTGCTACCACCTCGGCCCCCGCCACCTCGGCCCCCGCCACCTCGGCCACCGCCTCCACTGCCCCGTCCTCTACCAGGTCTGGTCATTCAAGAGAAAGGGGCGGAGAACAAGAGAGATTAGGGTGAAAAGGGGATTCAGCTGGAAATGAGCAAACTATGAGAAAGTTCAAATCGGATCATTAATTCCTTTACGTTACATACCTGCTTGGACGAGAGGGTCCGGAATCAAGACTGAAATCATCACCGTCATCATAGACGCAAGCTCCTCCTTTACTTCCACCTCCACCGCCACCACCACCACCACCACCTCTTCCTCCTCCTCCTCCTCTTCCTGCTCCTCTTCCTCTTGGCTTGTTAAACTTCCCCCCTCCTCTGTTAGGCTGCCCACCTCTTCTCCTTGCATTCATTTCTCTGTCAAAAGACATACATAAACACATCCATCACAGATGACATATTTGGAGCAATTTGCCTTAGAATTATCATCAACAAAACATTCTGGATTGCCTAAAATATACAGCTGTTACACAGTGTACTCACGTTCTGTTATTGTCCTTTCATAGTAGCAAATAATCTGTGAAGAGAGACATTAAATGCATCGTTTGAGTAAAATCTTCTGGTATACAATAATCCTGGACGAGCCAGAGAGAGCTGCTAGTTGCGATCCCGGGCAAAAATCTACTGTACATCCACTGCAGTGCACAGAGCAGCACATCGCTGTATGCTGGGTGGCTCGTTGTGGCACTTTAGTTCAAGTGCGAGCAATGAGATGGTGACTGACACACAGCGCTGGTGGCTACAATTATGCAACCAAACGGAGCATGCCGACTTAACAACCCAACAAAGGCAAAGTCCATTTACCCTCCAAGCCTGGCGGACTGACAACGTGCTTGGATAGCAAGTTATGAAAGGACAACATGTAGCTGGTATTAGCAATAACGTGGTTTTGTGTCATAGTGTGGCACGTCAGAAAGTAAAGTGCATCAAGCTTCCACTAGCTAACATGCTAACAAGCTAGCAAACTCACTTCTGGTTTAACAAGCTAGCAGAGAGAAGCTTTCTCATTAGTCAATACGGATGTATTTAATGCTAAAGAATATCCTCAATAATTTCATGTTTATTATACGGGATAAAACACATACATACTTGAAAAAACTTTACTTTCATAACTAGTATGGACTAACCTGAGGCTGCTGTTTCGACCGGTTCCGACCACCGGTAGCCTGCTTCTCTTTCATTGGTCTAAAACTCAGAGGTCAAAGTGTTCTTCCGGTGTTCAGTCACAAGGAAATAAACAACAAAATGTTATATTTTAATTAATATTTGGCGGTGGTTGGACTAAAATTAAAAGTTGAATTTCCTATTCAGCTAAACTAAATTTTTATAACAATAGTAAGACTGTTTATGAAACAACAGAGCTGTTAAGAAGCCTGTTATGTTCGGGATATTGTAACTATGGCAACTGCAGTTACAAGCTAACAGAAAACGGCGACAGGGAAATAAACAACAAAATATGATATATTAATTCATATCTGGAGACGGTTTGACATTTTTTGGGGTGATAAAGTTAACTAATATAGCACAAAACTTTTTTTTTTATTCAAGTTTTTTACTTTCCTCATCCCTTCGCAGCGTTTTCTGTCGAATCTGATAACATCTCTTATGTCTGGTGGGTTTGATTGTGAATAGTTTCTATTAACACAGACCCAGCACACACACATTTCCTTTTGTCTTGACAGTTTTCTGTCTTATTCTGTACTTTTTTTTTTACTTTCAGACATTCAGGAAAGTGAAGATGTTAAAACTCAAGGTAAATATTATAGTTTCATACCAGCACATTCTGTTCAGTTAAGGTTCTTAAAGTAACTTTTTGTTTACAGGCGAAGGACCTATTAAAGTATCCTACATTTTTCCCAATGGGGACAAATATGGTGAGTAATAACTGATGGCAGATCCAAATGTACAATACAGTTACATAGGTGTGTGTCAGTGTCTCTTCTCTTCTCCACAGAGGGGGAGTGCAGCATGTGTGCAGGTGTGATGATGAGAAGCGGTACCGGTACACACACCTCCGCAGGGGGCATCATATACACAGGAGAGTGGCTGGAAGACAAAGTATTTACTTATTTTGATGTCTTACTTAAGACTTGATGGTTGTATTTGCTATGCTTCATGCAAACCCACCATATTTCCTAAATAGAACAAAACACATAAGACTTGTGTGGGTCTCTTTGTATTTGTTTTGTGTCTCTTTTTAGTTTTGTGACTTTTTGTGGTTCTTTTATGTCACTTTCTTTTCATTTTGTTTCTCTTTGTAGTGTTTTATGTCTACTTGTGGTTCATTTTTGTCACTTTGTATTCCTTTTGTGTTTCTTTGTGGTCATTTTGTGTCTCTTTGTAAGTGTTTGATAAGTATTTAGTTGTCTGTGGTTGTTACGTGTCTCTTTTATGCTTCCTGTGCCCAAGTTTACAATCCTCCTTGTTGGTACGTTTCTCTACGAGTGACATTTTGCAGTTGAAGACATTGGGGCCCTGACACTTTCGACCCTTAAACCTGCGACTAATAGTCCAGTTCAGCAACCCATCCATGTCTGTGGTTAGTCACACATGAACACTCTCTTTCTCACAGATGCATAGCAGAGGGACCCTGAATCATCCCTCTGGAGCACTCTATGAAGGAGAATTCAAAGACAACATGTACCATGGCACGGGAAGATATACCTTTCCAGATGGCTCTACTTACAAGGGTCCCTTCAACAAGAACAGGTAAGAGGCACTTACACATACTGTGTAATCCCTTCATTTTTTTCTAGAAAGGGCCATGTACAAATGATTGTTATCTGGCACTGTGTCTAATTTATAAGCAGTGGTTCGGGTTAGCCTGTTTATATAACCAGAATAAAGCATAAGATGTCCCAGTTGTAGATTCCAAATGTACTAAGTGCCTTAGTGACGATAGTTTTGACGTGCAGAGTTTTACAAATTAGCCCCTTTAACCAATTTCCTTTTAATTTCCACTTGAGTAGTTTAAAAACTGCATAGAACATCTTATTCAATATAGATAAGTCATTTAGGTTGGGATATATATTTAGACCCAAGACATGGTGTTCAAGTAATGTTATTTACCTTTTGGCTACAATATCCAATGTGAGATTTTGTGTTTCTAGGTTGGAGGGAGACGGGGCGTTCACTGACACACAGGGACTGGTTTGGACGGGGGAGTTCCACGGGAAAGCAGCGCTGGGCCTGAAAATGCTGCACAACATTTAGGCAAAACATCATTGTACTGGAATGTCTGAATCACTATATGATCTACATTCAAATTAAATTGTATAGGAAAAGACTCATCTAAAAGTACTTATTTTTTCTGTACTTCCTTCTGACAGAAAGACCTGTATTTCTGCAAAGAGCTTAAAGGGGCCCTATCATTTCATATATGTATTTTTTGCCTCTACTGTGACATATTTACATGCTTTAATGTTGAAAAAAGTATGTATTATACCTCATACTGCCTGTGCTGCAGCACCTCTCATCACCCTCTGTCTGAAACCAGACAGCTAGCCTTATAATAAGCATGTTTGCTGCAGTTATTTAATTGCTTTTACCATACTGTATATTGAAGGATAAAAACAGGGCCTTTTTACATCATTACACCACCAGCCAAACACAAAGGGGGATATGTTAACGTCCCCTTTCACACAGCTGTACCCGCTCTAGTGGAACATTTGCCTGAGGAAAAGTGTGACGCGAGTGTGGGGTCATTTTGACCTTCTGTGTTGTGTGTACAAGCTGCACAACTCCATCAGCCAATAAAAACTCACTTCACCAAAAAACTCTTCAACATTATTTAATAAGCAACTCTCAGTGTACTTTGTCATTCTATTAAATAATGCCTCTATGAATCTGTAATTGCACATACCCCAGAACAGATCCAGTATTTTATTTTTTTCAAGACTATACAGATATGGAAATGTGTGTAACAAAAAAAACACAGATACTGTAGTAACACCCATACAATGCGTAACACCCCTGGTAAAATACAGTACCAGATACAAGAAACAACTACTTTCATTGATTGTACAATTTTCCTGTAGAAAAAAAACATTTTTTTGTATTGCAAACCTTCAGTGGTTGAGTGAAGGAAAAAAATATAATCATGGAGGCAACGACGATGAAATAAAAAATGGCATTGAAATTTGGCACAAGATACAAAAAAATACATCCCAACATGAAATGTCGCTGACATGAATACAAACTCACGATGAGTTATTGTGTAGTACATCCTGTGCAGTATATGTTTAGTGCTTCAGGTGTATTTTCATATACGAATGTGATGATCAAAGTGTCTTCATCACTACATGTCATGAGCTAGATGATGGCAAGGAAGCTTAAAAACTTTTGCAATATATTATCTCCATAAACCTGAGAATCTATTTAGTACAGAATAATATTTTTATACGAGAAGAAACAAGTACACTTTTCTAATTGTGCTGGAAACATCATTAGACAACAAAAAAGAAGCCATTCCACACATTTAAAATGTGACCAGGTACAAACAGTGGCCATGCACATAGACAAAATCATTGTTCTCTACAGAGCTAATAAATGACTGCACTTCAATCTGAACCGAGTGTGAGTGACATGAAAGAAAGGCGACCATGCTTTTTTTGTTTTCTGTGCTTCAGTTTTTCAGAATCTATCCAGAGCTCCGAACTCTGGAGCCCCGCTTTAGGTAGTTAGACGTAAGCGACATATACAGTGAAGACGAATAAGAAAAAACAGCACCATTATTGTGTCAGCTGTGTAAGCAAAGGGTGGCAACGTGCTCACCAAGGCCACCACCAAGGAGGACTGTGGGTAATTGTGCTGTTGTTCAGAGGGGGGTGGAGTCAGGATTGTTGGTTATTCTGATCATTAATGAGGTTTGGTTAGCTTAGCATGGTTCCATATAAAAACTCAGGGTAGTCCCCATACTCAGAAATTACCCTTTACAGGTGACTACAAATGTGAGATCTCAAATTTATCCGAATAATATTTTTCGATTTTAAAAGAGAAAAATACTTAAAAAAGGTGAAGTTTTTGGGGCAAATGTGCATCTTGTAAACCAATCCAGCGCACAAAACACCCCACTGTTTTTTCTATGGGACCATAACCATTCTTAGGTTTGATAAGTGAATCCTGGATGACATCAGTGATTATAGATTTGTGATTTCTGGATTTTGAAGTCCCTATTAGATTTCTGGAATATTAACGATTATATATAAGTTTCTATTTTTAAAAAGATATCAGATTCCTGCAGAAAATGTATATTCGGTTTCCAACTTCTTCCTATTTTCATGTACTATTTTTTTCTTTCTTCACCTACATAATTTTTACATTCACAAACAAACCCATACACTAACAGCTGGTATATTTCTTGACATATTATGTAAAATCACTAAGCCATCGGTGGAGATAGATCCCACTTCTACGTTTTAACCATGAAAATCCCCCTGTGGTTTTTCTTCCAAAAAGGCCCTTTTTTTTCTATAAAATGCTTAAGAAAAATCCATCAACTACACCCAGATACCTACAGTAGGCTTTGTGTAAAAATTAAAAAAAATAAAAACCGATTAGAAATCACCTTAATTGGCCGCACAAAATTAATAGGAAGCAATTGTCAAAAAAGCACCAACGTTTTAAAAAGGGGGACATATAAATAGACAAAGTGGTGACATAATTTGTTCAGGGGGGGGCAGTATAACTGGCCGTCTCCTGCTACGTCTTATTAGCTGCTACCTCTGTTCTTGCCTGTCCGTGTGTGTTCACAGTAGTCATAGGCACATGTTAACATCGAGTGTGTGTCTGTGTGTGTTTGGCTCACAGTAGGATGCTCCATTCATTCGTCAAATTTCCCTTCATCTTCCATTTTTCTCTCAAGCCTGCATAGCCTGTGTGATGGCTTCTCCATCTCTAGTTTCTCCATCTCTAGATTCTTCCCCCTCCCCCATTCCTCCATCACTCATGTGAAGTATAACCCCCATCCCTGCTCCTTCCTCCTTCTACTTCCAGTTTTGCAGTAAGGAAACACCCTAAAAACACCTCCAATAGGCTTCACCTCTCTCTACACCCCGCCCCCCACTCCCTGCCCTCCATCATGGATTCTGCAGCAGCCCCTCCCACTGGATGGGCTGTGAGAAGACCTCCCTCTCCAGCCACATCTCGTAGCTGTAGTGGAAGTCCTCGGGCAGCTCTACCCTCTGGCCCAGCACGCTCTGCAGGCAGTTGTCCACGGGCGCAAACTCCCAGTTCTTGTTCTTGTCGTAGCGGCGGCTGTTGAACTTCTCGATGCTCTCCCGCAGCGCGCACTCCTCCGCCTGGAAGTCCCAGGGACGAGCGTCGATATCTGGGGAGGAAGAAAGAGAAGGGGCATTTTTAATCAGTGGTGTAAAGTAACTAAGTAGATTTTGCTCAAGTATTGTACTTAAACACTTTTGAGGTACTTGAGGGTGTCAATTTGTGGCTCCTCTGTACTTCTACCCCATTACAATTCAGAGGTAAATTGTGTACTTTAACTCCACTACATGTATTTAGTTACTTTGAAGATGTAGTTAAATGATGTGAAATAGAATCAACACTTAAATAACACTTTAGTTACACCCGGAGTAAATTCACAAACTACCCTGCAGTATACAAAGTCATTAAAACTAGCTGCACCTAATAACACTTTAATGATCAATCATTAAAAAACATATAATATGTAGTATTCTGAAATGGGCCAATCTGCATATGCATACTTTTGGTACATTTTTGATGCAGATACTTTTCTACTTTTACTTGAGTAACATTTTGAATGCAGGACTTTTTCTTGTAACAGAGTATTCCTACTTCTGCTTTAATTAAGTAACAGATCTGAGTATTTCTTCCATCTCTGTATTTAATTAATGTTTAAATCTTCACGTTTTCACCTCATATCTATCCTTTACCTCACCTCTTTGCCTCCCCTATTCTCTCCATGTTTTGCCTTCTATCCACCCTCTCTCTACACACTAATGCTGACAAGATCACTTGCACTCTCACGAGGGCCGGTGACCCTGAAAAAGTCCTCCTTTTCTCTGTTGCTATGGCAACATAATCCAGGCTGTTCGCCAATAGCTGCAGGAGCATTGCATTTCACACACGCATGGTACATACATCCATACAGACAGGTACTTAAACACACGACACCACTACCACTAGGAAGGAAATAGGAATATGTACTGGTATTAAATATGGGGTTTACAGCGCTACGGCTAAATGTGTTCTTTATACTGCAGTCTGTGTTTTATTATCAGTTATGTGTGATGGTAAAGGAGGGCTGGTGGGAATAATTATCTTCAAGCCCGTTTTATTTATCAAACCTCAAGAGAGGCCAACTGGGTTCAAGAGAATACATAAATTAAATCTGCACTTGATTAATTATGGATGATGAAATAAGCTTTGCACCATAAATGATGAATTAGGGCTGTAACAAAGAAGAGCATTGCATCTGTTTTTTTAAGAAAAGGTTGATGAAAATATAGGGGGAATATGGTTAATAACACCCTCCCACTAAACTACATTTCTTGCAATGTGATCCCTCATATATTCAAATTGGTTCTTTATCTAATCTTAAAGTGAAACACTTTATGACTGGCTGTGGTTATTTACCGTTCCCGTAGGCCCAGTCGTCGTTGAGCCTGTGGCGGACCTTCTGATAAATGGCCGACATGGTCTTCATGTTGCTCTTCCTCCACTGGCGGCCCAGGTACTTGGTCTGGATCTTCAGCAGCTTGAGGACGTAGAGCTGCATCATGGCCTGCTTCACCTTCAGAGCTCTCTTCAGGATGGGGGCCGACTTGAACACCACCAGCATCTGAGAAGGGAAACAGTGAGGAACATGAGGGAGCTGATTTGGAGGCATACTGTGAACACAATGCCCACCCAGGCATGAAGACCTTTTTTGTGTAACACACCAATATCAAATGTACACCGATTGGGTGTTCTGCACTTTTACGATTCCTATTATTCAATGAATTGTATTTTATCTTATAGTTATCTAATTTGATATCTATTGTTTCCCTTACTACAGTATACAAAACTTTGTGCTGCATTTATTTTATGCAAAGTACTTCTAACTTACTAATAATTCAAAATATAACACAATATGATTCATTAGACTCATTAGGATGGGTTTATTTAGGCAGTAGAGATTCCCAGTATGAGGTTTTGCAGAATGCCTCACCATCGTCCTGGAGTGTTTCCACTTGGTCAGCTTGTTTAATATTCTCAGCAGATTGATGCATGAAAACAGGTTCCTCCAGCAGAACTGGTTACTGTCTCCTGCTTCCTGAAACCCCACACACACACACACACACACACACACACACACACACACACACACACACACACACACACACACACACACACACACACACACACACACACACACACACACACACACACACCATTACTAAATGACCTTTATCCAGTGAGGAACAATCCGCTGTCCCGCTGACTCACCAGGCTCTCAGCAGTGAGCTCAGGCATCTCATGGACCACACAGTTAGGGAAGTCCAGCACACATATGCTGCAAAGAAAAAAAAAAGACTCGTCACTTTTCAAATCTACCTACCAAATCTACTGTACCTAAATCTGTCAAGCCTTCTAAATGGTAAATGGACTCGATTATATAGCGCTTTTCCAGTCTTTAAGCGCTTTGACATAAACAAGTCATCATTCACCCATTCACAAAAAGGCTGGGGCTGCCATGCGAGGTGCACCTGCTCAAGGAAACTAACATAGGCCATGCCATCGGGAGAAATGTGGCTTTAATTTCCTTGCCCAAGGATACATCAACATTGACTACAGTGGCTGGGATCTAACCCCCAACCTTATGCTGTTAGACGACCTCACAGCTAGTCGGCCTTGACTCTGGTTCTTTCCCTCCCGAGTATAAGACTCCGGACACCTATTTTGACACTTATGCTGCATTCAATTGGTGTTGGCATAATCGTAAGAATCTAATCCCTAATAAATTCACATGAATGATTCTCCAAGTTGGAATAAGACCTAGGAAAGTCCCTTACAATGTTTGTACACGACTTTGCGATTCGACGTCATGTTATGCAGAAACATGGCGGACAAAAGTACATTTGTGTTGTGTATGAGTGAGTTATAAAATGGTTACATATTTGTTTATTCACCCTGATTGACACGTCGGGAAAGGAAATATGTGAGTGAAGTTGGAGAATTTAGTTGTGCAGCAAAAACGTCTGGGACCAAATCACCTCTATATTGCAAATGTCACGCAAATACTGGAAGAGAATGCATTACAGTATAAAAATACAACACATCTTCTTTGTAGCGTCCATGTTGTTTCCACATTATTCCTTAAAGTAAACCTGTCAGAAGAACAATTTCTCATATCAGGAAATGGGATCTTTGGATATGCACTTGAATGCACCATTGAGGTTTTTTTCTTTAACACCTTAATTTCCTGTCATTGGGTTGCTGCTGTGATGCCATCTGTGCCACCTTCAGGACACCTGCTGGTTCCACACCAGGTTGGTTCTTAAACAAAACCCTGGTGCAGCACATATTTAAAGGAACAGTAGAAATACTAAAATGGCAGCCTTTTCTTACATAAATACTGGAAATGGAGGCACAATTACATAATGTCCCTGCATCTGTAAGCAATAGGAGACATGCAGTGCTTTCTGTGAGGCGAGAGTAACAGACCCTACCTGTTTTTGGCACTGATATAGGACATGATGTTCTGGTTGAAGAACTTAAGGATGAGTGGGATACAGTTGGCAAACACCAGATGCTGGGAGACAATCTCGAACTGCGGGAACAGAGGAGGCGGCAGCGTTGAAGAGTTAGAGTCTGGGAGACAACAACAGCAACTACAAATCTATTTGAATTGTTATATTAGCCCTTAGGAAGAAATAACACCACAGAAATAAAGTTTTGCACTGCTTTTAAATGTTTGGGATTCATAAAGGAATTTTGAGATAAAGGACATCTGATGGATTATTTCATTGATTGGAAAAACGCCAGAAGGGGAAATCTATATCTCAAGAAAGAATAGAAGACTGTAAAAATAATCCTGTAGCCGATAATCCTGCATCATTGATGAGTTTCCTGAGCGGGCGAAAGGTCAGGAATAAGGATTTCTATTCTTATGCAGAGGTTATACAAATCCTTCACCTCGTCCAAGACACTTTACTTAGATTAAAAACTGCTGATGGGTCATATTTCCGTATTTCATCGGCTGTGTTTTGTTCAAATGTGCTATATTTTACCTAGTTTTTCTGAGGATTGTTATGATCATCACATAAATGTTACAGTTCTCATAATACAGTGTTTGTGTCGTATCTAGACTCATTGATTTCTTCCCACTGCAGCTGCCTTCTACGTGCAATCTCCTTTTGTGGCAGAAGAGGGCGCTACAACTATAAGTGTGAGAAGGAATATCCCTTGCTAGCAAGAGTGAATTGGATAAAAATGATTTTGGATTTAAAAGATGATATAAGCGCCTAAAATGGGGCCAAATAATCCTCTTTGAATGTCTTCATTGAGATGAACCGTGAGGCAGGAGGTCGTGAGATGTTGGGGGGGGTGGAGGTCTAAAGGTGGGGGTGGAGAGGATGATTAGAGTAGGAAAGCATTGGAAGACTTGATGGGATAATCAGGTGGAGGGCGGTGGAGGTAGCATGGGGGGAGGGGCAGGGGTATGTGTGTGTGTGTGTGTGTGTGTGTGTGTGTGTGTGTGTGTGTGTGTGTGTGTGTGTGTGTGTGTGTGTGTGTGTGTGTGTGCTGGGGGAAGGAGATGGAGAATAATGTAAAAGGAGAGAACGGTGGTAATGTAAGATGCCTTTAGGAGGGGTGTGTGTGTGTGTGTATGTGCGTGTGCGTGTGCGTGTGCGTGTGTGTGTGTGTGTGTGTGTGTGAGTGAGACCTGGTAGATATGGTTGAGTTTGAAGTGTTTGAGGAGCAGCAGCAGCAGAGCAGAGATGGCCTTGACGATGATTTCCTTGTGGCGGTTCACATCAATTCCCAGCTTCATGCTCTGAAGGACTGTGATACTGGAGGGGGAGACACGCACACACAAATTGTAAGGCTTCTATGTCTCTAATAAAAACACATCTTTGTTCAGTGAAAGAAATATATAATGACACGGTATGCTCTCCTTTGAAAGCTTACAGAAGTCAAACATACAGACGCTGTTAGACAGGGTTGTGATTATTCTTAATTTGGACGATTTCTGTTCTGGTATTTATTTTACAACTAGCCCATATTCCAGACCCAAAACAAACCCTAAATAAATGCATTTCAATAGTATTTGTTTAGCCCAAAAATGGCAACAAAAAGTTAACTCTTGCAGATAAATAAAAAAAGGGATAAGGTCCAACGAGGCAGTTAAGATAAGATGTACTTTATTAATCCCAATTTGGGAAACATTTTGGTTATGGTTTGTGACAAATTAGAAGAAATTCTCTCCATGTGTCCCTGAGTTGTTACGATTCTGAGAATCAGACGACGCAAGGGCATAAATAGTGTTCTGCTCGAGAACAGCAGCTGTAAATATTGCTCAAATTCAACAACAAACCTGGTCTTTTATGTTCAACAGTCTTGTCCAAATGTGGCTCTAGATGTGTGAAAAAGATTTAGACGTGTTTGTTCAGTACTCACGGCATCTCCTCAGGCAGAACATCAGCCAAGATGTTTATGGAGTCCGTTTTGGCTTTGGAGGTTGGAGCTGCAGCCAGCAGCAGCTTCAGGAGGGCAATCTGACACGGGTAACAATAAAACATTTAACACCTTGACTGATATCTATATTTCGTTTTTTAACAGATCAAATTGTGCTTTAAATGATATAAGATTGCTGCCATGAAAACTTAACAGTGACGTCATTCTCTGGCTACAGGACATGAAAATATACCAAAAACTGTCATTTGATTATTTTCTCTTTTAGGGAGATAATGTACCACTTGAACATTGATCTGTTTGTTTAGAGTAGATATAAAGGCTTTCTTTAAACCAAAATAACACATTTGGCAGCAAGACGGTGTGAAAAAGGGGTAAAAAGTGTAAAAAAGAGGCTTTAAGAGAGTGAGGGTAAAATAACAACCATTGAGAGCCACTCACCACATACTGGGAGAGGTTAGGCAGCATGCCCAGATACAGCATCTCTGTTGGGGTCTCCTCCACCTCCTCCTCCCCCTGCACAACACACACACACACACACACACACACACACACACACACACACACACACACACACACACACACACACACACACACACACACACACACACACACACACACACACACAGAATGATGCTTACAAACTGTATAGAAGAATAGAATAATAAAATGAGTCCCAGTGTCTCGATTGGAAATATCAAAGCACAAAGAAGTGACATTACTGACCAGAGTCATCGGACACTGCTGCAGCTCGTCCTCCTTTTGGATCTGGACCTCTGCGATGGATACATATTTGTGCTGAAGGAGACGAGAAAACCATAGTTATAAAATATATATGAATGTATATAAATGTTTCAGAAGAGGTGTTGACTATTCATAATTATTGAAAAGAAGCAATTCTCCTAAGAGTACAAACATGTAAACGTTACAAATATATGTATATATATTTTAAGGAGTTGAATCCTTTAAACCAATGCAGTCCTGATCCAAATATTTGTTGGTTTTAAGAATTTTAACCCCTTGACTATACCAGATTGCGTACCTTCACATCGACTTTTATGGAAAATAAAACCCCAAAAAATGTGAATCTGAATTCTGTTCATTTAATGCTGGGGATGTTTCTTTAACGGCCCGTCCACACGGCGGCGTGCGTTGAAGCTTCAACGCTTCTGCCCATTCACTTTGAATGGGGTGACGTCACGCTTTGCCGAACTGCATTGTGGTTCCGTCGCTTCGCTTTGCTCGCGTTGCTTGCTTTGCTCGCGTTGCTTGCTTCAAAAGTTGAGCATAGTTCAACTTTTGAAGCTTTGACGGAAGCGTCAGCCAATCAAATCATATGCCAGTACAAGCTCTAGCCAATCAAACCGCGTGCTTGTGTATCCGGGGCGGGAGATTCATGTGATTGGCTGTTGGTCGAGTTTCAGACACGCCTGCCGGCAAGCTTCAACACACGCCGCCGTGTGGACGCTGCGTAAGACTTTACTAGGCATATGATTATCTACATTAATTTAATCCATTTGTATATGTTTGGGAGCAGGATGATTTTCCCCATAGGGCACATATGAAAACAAGTATTTTAATCTGGTGGAAAATAATAAATATGACAATTTTTGTGCTATAGATTAAAAGTCTGATATTATTTCCTGCTGTAATGGAAGTTCGATCTCTAATGCTCGGTTGCAGCGAGGGACATTTTGTCCTCAAGAGTCTGAGTGTATTTATTTTGGGAACACTCGTTATTATACACTCTTAAACTTTCCAAAAAGCCAAGGTCTCTAGTGAGACACAAGTGTTAATTAGCACTTCTAACTGGCACCCAGAGAGGCATTCCTCTTTTCTTAAACACTAAGTACTAATTTTGAAGTGTGATCTCAATGACGCGGGATTCAGCAGAAATAGAGTATTGATTAACAAACACTTTGAGTAGAGGAAAAGAAGAAGGAGAAGGACATTTGGTAATGGGACTCAGCGTATGAGCGATGTCTTAGAGGCGGATCATTCTCACCTGTTTAAGGGTCTTCACGCTCTCATGGATGGGTCTGGGAAGGCCCACCAGGGTGTCTGTGTCGCTGCAAAACAACACACAGTTACACCAGGAACCTGAAGAAGCCCGCGTATGTGATATTGTCTCAAATTAAATACCTACTTCCCCAGAGTGAAACCGATAAACTTGTTACGGCTGGTCTCCAGGAAGTGCTCGATGTCTTTCTCCCTGTTCACACACACACACACAGATTTTGAGAAACTAAACAGCCATTTTTCAAGTGAGCAGTCAGAAGCACCCACACAAACATGAAGAAGAGCAACATTACGCTTTCTAAAATCTCATCAGTCACACTCTGAGAGCCTCTTTCGGATCAGACCTTCATCAGCCCTGTGTGTTGCAGCACTCACTCCTGCTTAAGGTTCACGGAGCGAAAGACAGATATAGGTTTTGTGATAATGAACGGCTGATAAATGGACTGCTATAAATGATTTGTGTCCTCTCTCTGATGCATTATTCATGTCGCAGAGGCGGCACCCTGCGAGGACACCACACGACCCTGTGAGGAACACACAGATGGAGAGCGTATTGCGAGGAGAGTAAACTGAGAGATTTAACGTTCAAATGATGGCACAGAATCAAGATGGGAGACTGAGAACAGCTGCTAGCCGAATGGTGTAAAGTCCTGGCTGTGGGTGGGAGGTGTTCGCCACTCTATACTGGTCAGAATGGCAGAAGGCCAACCAATATGTGTATGTTTTATTCAGTGGCATAAGAGCTATGTGCTTTTAAACTAATAAACAAATCTGGCGAGGATCATTTTTGGCAGCTACAGTAATGGATCTGTTTTATTTATCATACAAATGTCTTACTTAAGCTGTTTGTAATGCCTGTTAACACTTCCTATCTGGCTTGGGCATTTAATAAGTAATGTAAACTGAAGTAAGGCTGTAAGGGGGTATTTATAAGCACTATTTAAACTTCAGGAAGAGGCATATAACCACAGCTTTTATTGTTAATGTATTGTTTTTGTAGGCGTTTACTTTTTTATTTCCCTCTCATTTGTTTTTCCATCTTCTGCTTTCCCTGCTGGGGTAGACTGATGTCTGAGCAATAACACAAACATAAATACATGATGTTTCCCCATATGAACAGTGTTCTCCCAATGGATCCTGGGGTTATTCAGGATAGGCTAAGGGGAAAGGGAATAAGGGAATTAACTTCCTTCCCACGACCCAGGGGGCCAAGTGTTTCCGCTGCCTGATGCTAAAAAAAGCTATTTGGGAAAATAAGGCAAATACAGAGAACTGACATTTTTTTGGACCAAGGGATTTCATTATCCATCCCAGGCAGAAAAACTCTTATTGGCTGTTTTCTCAGACTTATATGTATGTCATCCTCTCCATCTCCCCTTTTTAACACTGTCACTCTCAAATAAAGGCTAATCTGGCCATTCAAAAAGAAGGGTAAAGCACGCCCTAATGTGATTCCTCTACACTTGCATACACACTAACAAGAACCCTTCAAAGTAGACTATTGACCCTTGCTAACACACACATCTCATAACATAAGCTCAAAAACAGGTATGAAGACTGTGCATTAACCTGACTTTAGGGGCCCAGGGGAGGCCTTTGGGTAAGTTGACCTTCTCTGTGGGGGGTCTGAGGGGAGGTGGTGGAGGTGGGGGCTGGATGATGACATCACGGTCCAAGGGGTCCACCTCTCCCTCGATGCCGCTGTCCGTGTCCTCGGGGTCCTCCTCCTCGTCCCGGGCGTCATCGTTCTTAAAGGGGTCCCGCTCGTTGTACGTGTCCAGGCTGTCCTGCTTCACCAGGGGCTGAGAGAGAGAAGAGAGGCCGTCACATGTCAAGAGCCACATGACCTTTCGACACACCGCGGAGTATTAAGCTCATCCTTCATATGAAATCTAGTGAATTCTAGCTGTAAAATAGCAAAAATTACCCAAATCTACCACATGAACAGAATCAGCCCCTCAACAAGCAGGATCATGCTGTGCAGCCAAACATTGTTCGAACCCCCTTTAGTTTCAAAATACTAAATATGTTACAAATAATAAGGAAATATGTACAAAATGATGTATAACACAGTTTTTAGATTATTTAACTCATCATGTAGCTTCATTTAAGAGTTAGGACAATCCTATACATAACTGTGTGATACTGTAAAAATACTGTCGAATAAAGTCAAAGAACAAGTTAAAAAAAAATAGGGGTTCTTTTTACTATCCTGAATCGAAAGTACTGTACAGGAAACTATTTTTGATTTAACCTTATCAAAAAAAGGACAGACGACTGATTTCATATTGAGTTATAGCCATTGTTTATATGTAGTTGACATAAAAACTACTATTCGTCCATTAAATATCATGCTACTAGCAGGCGACGATTAGCTTAGCAACAACAGCTAGGCTGGCTCTGCCCAAAAGGTACCCAAAGCAAACGCAAGCAAAATGTCACATTAAACTTACCGCACATCTGCATTTCAAAACATACAGAAAAAATGCAAGCATGGCCCAATAAGGCTTAGATTTGTATTAAACTCTTTACTGGAAACAAACCCATGTCAGTGCCAAACATACATTCCCACACACAGTACCGCAGTTTTCACAATTTCTCCAATGAATGACTGTGGTAAAATTGCAAGCATCAGGCATGAGTCAGCGTTTCTGGACATTAGTCGAGCTTGTGCAGTCGATGGTGGCAGTGCTAACGCTGGACTAAGTGAGGAGTATAGTGAGAATATGGTGGGGAGGGAGGGAGGAGGAGGTGTTGTGAGCCATTCTCTATGGAGCAGCCATTCTGTGCTATGTGGGAGGTAAAGCTACGTTTTCCATCAGGGTTAGGGGACAACCGCTTTCAATGACATCCACGTGAGAGAGAGGTCAACTGAAAGAGAGAGTATGTCCATGATGATCTCAATTCTATGGTGGCAGAAGGGGGGAAACGTGTTACAACAACCCAAAACACACCCATTAGGAGAAACGCGCTGCACTTAGAAAAACAATGCTAAATCAAATATCACAAATGTGCCAAAACATTTAACTTTTAATAAACGTTGTGCTTGTTCGTGAAGTTGGTGACGATGTTATTTCTTTTGCAAGTGTTTTGGCACATTTGTGTTTTTTTATTTGCATTGTTTTTTAAACTGCAACGCATTTCTCCTAATGGAAATGTTTTAGGCTGTTGCTACGCGTTTGCACCTGTCGGCCACCGTACAATTCACCTCCTCAATGAATGCATTATCAAGGACATTGACCCCTAGTCCAGATTCTTCAGTGCAAGGTGATTTTTGCGGCCAAACCTGGTAGCAATGTGATGAGAACTACAAGGGAGATGCTACTACAGTCGATGTCTGAAGTGACTTTTACGGGACAGTGGATAGTGACCGCTCCAGCGCCAATGACAACAGCCATCAAGTCAGCCCTGTCTCTAAATCCCACCCCCTTACTGAGCAGGCCACAGTGGAGGAAAAGAAGGGAGAAAGAAGAGAGGAGAGTAAAAGAGGGGGCAGGGTGAGATAGGACAAGTAAGGAGAAGGATATAAATGATGGAATAAGCATGGGAAGGGAGAGGGAAAAGTACAGTAGGAAGACAGGAAGGACGTTTTTAAATGTTATCAGCCCATTAAATGGCCGTTATCAGTAGTAATCACTTCTAATGCTTCATCCTGTGTAAACTGTACCTAGACCATGACCTAGATGCACTTGGTAAGTTTAAGGAAAAGATCATGGTTTGGGTTCCATTAAGTATGTTTATTGTGTAACTTTAATAGCGTACATATGCCATTAATAACTGTGTAATTTATACCTGGCTGCTAAACCCTTGTTACTGTTACAAGGTATCTATCTTGTATTTTGTAGATTGTGGAACTTGCTGCTGTTAAATACCGTCAGCCTATGTTCAATATGTGCAATATATACTTTATATACATATGCCATCTTTAATAACTGTAATATATACCGGGCTGCTAAATCCTAAGAACTGCTACAGGATTTGATTTGTAGATTTGATTTGTTTTTGAAAATTATGTAAACTTTTTTAGTTTTTATTCTTTTTTTTTGAGGCCATATTGTTTTATTATATTTATAACTTAGTACTTTTTTTAGCATTTGTTGTGTTGTCTTGTTTATATATAATATTAACTAACTTAGTACTTTTCTTTAAGGCATTTAAGATATGCAACACTAAGCTGTCTGCTGGCTGCCTTTCCTGCTGTAACGCCAGCAAATGTTCCCCCTCTGTGGGACTAACCAAAGGATTCTGATTCTGAATTATTCTGATGTTGAGTGGGTTATGTTATTTCAGACTACGCTATGTTTGTTCAATTTACGTTGATTATTTTAATTTATCACCACCACTGGAAGATGATTGCACTTTAACAAAACTTTAATTAAAATGGATAATCTTGCGTGATGTCTTTGTTTTTTTCCACCAAGATCCTGTCTATGATCACCTATGAATGTACGATGAATACATCTGCTTAAGTCCATTTGTATTGACCCTGATAACATTTGAAGCCGGTAAGGAGGCAGAAGGAAAAGAGGAGGAATAAAGCGGATGAAATAAGGCATATATGAAGTAGATTAATAATGAAGCCCTAAGAAGGGATGGAATGAAAAGGAAAGGAAGGAAAATGAGGAGGGCACGTGGAGGATCATAGGCCCAGTGGTATCGGAGGCAGAAAATTAAAACCCATTAAGCATGCAAGTAGGAAAAGCGTGAATTAAATGGATAAAATAATTTAAATAAATAATTATTAAAGTTAAAGCAAAAATGGCAAGCTAAGCATGCAGATGGTGACAATTAAAATTGAAGGAAGCCAGTTTGACCCATTTTGTCCCACAATGCTGGCTAATTCCCCTTTCAAGTTTGAATAAACCCACATTTCCCAGTTAGTAAAGAGGGAATTGGATATCTGATTCGGCATTTCTCTTCTCTTTAAGCCCAAGTGGCCCGTTGCCAGGCANTAATATTACGTTTAAATAGGTTAAACTTAATATTATTGCTTTCAACTAACTTAATACAGTTATGTGAAATGTGTTGACATAATACATTTAATTAAAATCCACGTTTCAGTTTTTCAGTGTGCCTCTATCGGATTTTAATTAAATGTATTATGTCAACACATTTCACATAACTGTATTAAGTTAGTTGAAAGCAATAATATTAAGTTTAACCTATTTAAACGTAATATTATTGACGATGACATTTGTTGACATAAAACATTTAATTAAAAGCAACGCTTCCGTTTTTTCCGTGCAGTCAACTCGAGCAACAATGATACATATACATGTTACCCTCTCATACAACCAACCAAGCACATTCTCCTTAATCTGGCGCTCTATTTAAGCCTAAAGATTGCTCCCCCTGCTGCGGCACCACTGCTGCTTGTCTGGCCCACAACCACCCCAGCATCCAGCTGTGGGTTCTGGGGGTAATTTATTTAATCATCATTCCTCAATGTTATGAAGATATTCGCGGGGAGTGATGAGGCAACAGCCGAAACGCCAGACTCAAACATTATGCTGTTATTAATAAACACGAGTTGTCTGAATGAAATAACTAATAACTAATAACGTAAATCAGAAGCTGAAACGAGATATTGGTTTGAAAATATTTTTTTATAAAGTATCCAAATAGTTGCAAATGATTATTTAGAAGACCTATAACACGTAAATATTGATAGACTAATCCTCTCAGCTCTACTGCGTATCTGTGTTGTTGCTACATGAATATGTAATATAATACAAAAATACTGTTGGGTTCATATATGTAGAGTAATAGGGTTTCGTTAAAAGCTTTATTACTCTAAAAACATCTCTTGTCTAAATGAAAGCACAGTCTGATATGGCCAATTTGCCATAGATGGTAATTATGTGTAAAGTCTACATTTGAAAGCTTCCATTCTAACTTAAAAGAAAGATATCATGCTGCTGTGTCTGTGATATCTAGCTTTTAATGGTGTTCCACAGGGGTCCTTTCTCGATGCAGATTTATCACATATCTGTCCTGCTGCTTTCAGATGGCTGCAGGGATTTAATGAAGTGAGGGAGAGGGTTTTCACAGAGTATTACACAGCTGTAAACAACAAATACCGTCATTTAGATAACTGCCGACTGCTTTATCGACATTCTGCGGTAAATATACATTTTTGAAAGGTATCTTCTAGTTGGAGGGTGCCTTTATTAGGGGCCGTTCATTCAATAGACATCTCAGTTTGCATAATACATTCCACCCAATACTTAGGAAAGCAACAAATAAAGGAAAGCAACACGTTCTTTGTTTTCTTTTTAAAATACATTATTAATTTTTTCAAAATACTTAAAAAAGGGCTGCTCCTTTTGCACAATTCCCCCCCAGATAGCACAACTTTAATAAGCTGTTATTTTCTATTGCATGTTTCTAACCCAGGCTTACATATCGTTCCGAGAATAGAGAGACAGGGATTAACACAAATAGAGTATCTTGTATGTAAAATGTGTGTGTATACATTATGTGAAACAAATGGAAACCCCCATGTCAGGTTCACCTATTTTCTCAGCACTTACAGAAGGTGTGCTGTGTAAAGGGCTATATACTGCATGACACACTGCTACTGCTTTCAGAGAGGTGTTACCCATAGGGATGTAATTATGCACAAGCTTCGTGATGTCGCCAGGCATGTTTACTATGATCTGTTCTGTAATATCCCTCACACATTATAACAAGGAGGAGGAGGGCTGTGTTTTTAACATGTTATTGGAAGAAACTTTTTCCATAAGATTTCTCTCCATGGTTACAAAGTTCACTGGGTTTGTACGAACATGATTCAGTTAATTGTAATTATTCCATGACAGTATGGTAGACACATTAGAAGTATAATGAAAATAGTATACAGTACGTTAGCATAAGGAAAGTGCTGATCTGTAGCTCTCTCTGTACATTAGAAGAGATTCTTATGTAAATGAGCTGGAATTTATATCCAATCTCAGTAAATGGACTGTATTAGGAATCAGCCCAATTATTATGACCACATTACAATTAGTGGGGCATAATCTGTATTCACAAAAGAAAGGTTATCTCATAATTATTATAAAATAATTTCACAATATATCCACTTTGTTCCCGTCCGCATTTGTGTTGGTTATTACGTGATTTGGATTGTGTACACTTGTTCTCAAGAGTGGTACCAATGATGAATGTTTAAGATGACCTGGTTCAGCTGAAATACAACATGTAGCCATTTAGTGTTGGCACCATTACAGGGAGGTAAAGTAGGGTAATGTAAAGTTTGTTTATCTTGCGTCAAATCCTCCATCGTTTTTGGACAAGCAGGACTGCCTCTAGTGGCCATAGAAATACTGAGGGGGGCAAAGGAAGAGTGAGTAGGGAGCAGATGGTTAGACAAACTCGGGACTTTTACACAGGAAACTGTCGTTCGTTTCCCGTGTAAAACCAACTTTTTGTTTTTGTTTGTGAAACATATTTAAACTTTTGTCTCATACAGAAAAAGGTTAACTTACATATGTAACTAACTATCATTATTATTATTATAAACTCTATATTATACAGTCTAACAACTTTTTTTTTATATGATCTCTTCCGTAACCTAACCGGATAATGACCCAATGTACTTATTTAAGGTCATGTATGGACTACTTGGCCTAACATAATGTAACGCCCTGTTAACATCCAAACAGTAATCACATGTTTATGCCAAATCAAAATACCCTGCACTTTCAATTTTGGTAATGGGTAATCAGTACGTTAGAAAGGTTACACTAAGGTGTCATTACAAAGCATAAGTAATTGACGAGTTGGGACTTAGAACGTGATGCAAAAGCAAAAATGCAAATATACATACTGTATACCAGAGAATTAGTAGGGCATTGTTCCGTTAGTTGCACCATTTTGGATTCTTTATAGTGGATAACATACAGTACAAAGGATCAAATATTTTACCTTTTTAAAGACAAACATTCAGATATTCATTTTGGTGACATGGCAAATACACTATGTTCTAGTCTTGTCTAGAAAATCAATCTTTTGAGCTATAGTTCTTAATTATATAACATTCGTTGCTGAAGTGCAATGAAACCCTAACTTGTAATTTCCCACCCACCTTCAGCGACGTGACATATCTCAGCCTGTTCTGTTGGCAGATAATGAACAGAGAGCTTTGAGAATCTTGTTAAGTTATTCAAAAGGGACATTGACTCATGAATATACTGCCTGTATCTTATTGGCAGAGGAAAGTCACAAACCTGACAGGAAATGTCTCAAGATAAACTAGTGCAACATTGGAAGTGGTGTAGAGTTTAATGTGGCGGACAGCTATTGGCAGAGCAAATAATGAAGGCTGTGATTGAGATTGTTCTTCTGAGAGGTAGCCATGAAGGCTGCCAAGGATCTAAATGTTGTGTCACACTTTTGAGCATGAAAGCTGTTGGTTTTAGGATTTTCTGACGTGCAAACTTTATGTTAGATAGACATGACGTGTGATTGGGTTAGTGGCTTTATTTAAAGTTTATTTGGTCTTTTAATCAATTTGCTCTTATCATTATTAGTATGGCTTAAAGGCACACTTTGAAAACAGCCAGTATTGCTGAATCTCTGACTGCCTAGGATTACATGTAGTTTATCTGATTCAGTAAATCAGTGGAAACACATCGGTTTGGCAGCTTTTTGGAGTGGACTGTCAACAGAAATATGTGCAATGTTGTAGTGGATTTATACAGTCTCTGCCATACGCCTCACAACTCTGGCTGGAAATAATGCAGCATCTCTTGTCTTTGTTTCAGCCTCCATTCACATGACTGATGGTCAGGTTGCTCAAGACCTGCGTGGTTCTATGTTCTGTATGGAGTTGTGGGACTCTTTCACTCAAACCCACATCCACACAGACACCTGTAAAGGCCAACTGGAGCAGTGTAAAAGTGGAGCAGTGCTGCCCCATTTTACTGGTTCATCTGGCATCAGTGTAACATATATTCCCTGCAAGTCACTCCATGTCGAACAAGCTTTTATTGATGTTCATTTTTGCCAGGGAAGTATGCTCGGGGATTAATCCCAAATTAAAGTTTTAATCCGTAACATTTCAGTTCTGGTCGACTTGGCGACACCTGTGTTAACAAGTTTTTTTAAAGGGTTCCTATTATGCTTTGCCAGAGGGAGTCTCTCCCACAGACTCCCCCCCCCCCCTGCCTGAAACGTCTCGACTCTAGTCTTGTGTTTACTTCCGCCACATAGTGACATCACTATGTAACATTTGTGCTTCTATCGGCTACCACTAAAACACATTGTACGTAATAGGCTTAGGGGTGGGACATCTCTTAGCGATTGACCAATTATAACAGAGACAGCCAGCTATCAAATCAGAGTAGACTGGGCTCTGGTTTCAGACAGAGGGTGAAAAGAGGTGCTGCAGTACAGGCAGTAAGAGACAAATAAAGAGCTTTTTGAACATTAAAGCAGTAGAGGCTCAACAAACAATTATGAAAACTGAACATTTGCATCATTCGCGCCCTTTAATACTACAGGTTCTTTTTATCTGGGGGCAGCAAACACTTGTTGAGCAGCTAATTTGTCAGAATGTTATGTTTAGAAAGACGTCAGACAATAATTTGTCTTGTTCCATCAAGCCATGAGCAACTGTGATCTGATTTCATGTTGCACACGGCATTTTACTCCCAACTGTAGGGCATCATTGAATTGGTTACCTCGCTGAAAAGTTGTCTGCAGCTCTTCAGCGGGGTCTATTACTCTCTGCAATATTTAAAACTGATCCGTTGTTAAAAAGTCTAGCCTTGCAGAGGCATTTATGACGAAAGATCAATGTCGGGCACCAACCTCAGGGACAAATACAGTTCCCTGTGACTGCTCCACAATAAAAGCCGCCCTGTAGTTTGCTATTTGAATGCTTTTAATGGGAACTAACAGTTCAGTTTGATAAGATGTTTGAGAGTGAACAGTGGACAATTGACAGTGAGGCTGAGCTCAATAGATAATATTTCAAACAGTAATGCTGACACCAAAGTACGGTCTATCATACCCTGTTACTCTGTCATGCAGGTAGGCTATGTTTTAACATTGGAGATCTATTGGCTCACATAGTGCTGACCAATTACAATACAAAATATGCAGTTTGATTGTTGATTTGATTTGAAAAGTGACTGATCATGCATTTCAAACTTTGACACATTTTACCAAAACTGTGGATAGAAATTGTACATTAGATTCTAGAACATGTATTTATTTGAGTTTTTATGATAAATGTCATCAAAACATTATATTTATTCACATCCTCCTGTCTTTTCTCGATTGTCAGCTGTAGCCATTAATCATTTAATCCTGCACCTTGGTGATAGAAGAGCTCTTTTAATCATACTATACAGTATTTGGACTGGTTAATGTCCTATAATTAGCCGTTGATGGCTGCAGCCGGTGTTGTCAAACTATGCAAATATGCCCGCGAGCACATTACACTGTTCTAATTGGCATCGCTGCTCTCTCCAATGTTCCCTGTACGAAGCTGTAGTCCTCACTGCTGCTGACAAGACAGGAAGGTTCGGAAAGCAAACACAGAAAGGTTGTAGGAGACAAAATAGAGTACAATCACATGACCTCTGCATTCTCTACCGCAGTGACAGCTCGCCCAGCAGGTGGGAAATCAGACGGCTGCGGCATAAACATCATCCAGGCACTGCAGCTCTTCCACATCAAACATTCACTGTGTGCTCATGTCTTTAAATGAAAAAGCTTCTATTTACAAACCAAACCAAAGGAAATAAATATATAATTAGTAATGCGTGGCTTTGTTTTTGCTTTTTACTCCTTAAAGAAACATACCGTCAGTCAGATGACACCTTCTGCTTCTGTCTTGTTCTTAAGTCATTCTCTTGGTGGAGGGCTTTTTTTTTTAAGCATTATGGAAAACGTATTTGTGAATTGTTTCAGCTTGATATTTAGATATTTCCCAATAATATGCCATTTTAAATTTGTATCATGCTCGGTTTGACAGCGATAACTTAGTATATTTGTCACAAACCAATGCAACACAGGTGCATATAAAGGCTGACGATCAAGCAGGGTGTAGTAAACAAAAACAAATGATTTTCTGAAAGCTTATAGCTTGAAAACAGAAAACACTTTTAAGAGTCTTGAAATATCTCAGTAGCTAATTGTCGTTAGCATGTTAGCACACAGTAATTTGATGAAACCCACATGCAGCAGCAACCTACAGACATCCTAATGGAGCCCATTTTCTTACAAGCTACAAAAAGCTAAGGCTTCATTCATGATTTAATCCTTTGCCATATGAGACAAATATTTAACTTCCACTCTGTGCTGGGCAGGTAGTTTTATTGAGCTGCTCATTGTTTTATAGGAGGGGTTGATTAGAGACAAGTGGTCCAATATTTGTTCAGGCAGATCAAAACCAAAAGCTGAAAAAATCCTTGAAAACATAAGAGCAGAAGGGATTACAACCACTATCCCTCATTTGAAATAACAGTCATTTCCTGAGGTAATAATACCAAAAATAATGCTTATTGAAGCTGAGATTATACTAAGAGGATTTGTACTGTTATTCATTAAACCAGTCATCTCTGTCTTCTCATCTCTTTTGGAAACCACCCCCAACCACTTATAATAACAAGTTTTATTTTTCATGATCATTTATTTCGATATTGTTGCAATTTACCTGTCAAGAGATCACAACTAGTACAAAATGACATAATGCATCAGTGGACATAGAGAACAAGAGAGAAATCATCTTGCTAAATTGAGTGAGAAAACACATGCAGAGAAACACAGCAGGTCTTCCCCACCTTTTCCTACTAGTGTGAGTAGAGGGAGGGAAAAAACTGACAAATTGTTCTTTTACATCCTCTCAGAGGCCCACCAGAGCTCGCCGGTATCATTAAGCCTTCCTTATCTCAGGAAAAAGTGATTCTGAATGACGCTGAGGTTGTTTGCCTGGCTAATGCCAAAGCCTGTTTGTGTCCATCAGGAGTCGGGCTGTTAATCCAGCCCACACCCAAGCACCAGTTATCAATACCGTGTTAGGGGGCCGTGGGGCGAAACTGGCTGTCATGCTCGCGGAGATCAGCTCCTGCTTTACACCTCATGAAGTGGAAAGGGGGGGCGTGAGGGCGCGGACATGCACACACTCAGCTGCGTTGGATCAGTGTTGCTGCCAAACCAGGACAAAAACAACACTGTGTCTGCGTTGTTATCATAACCAAACATTCTCTTCTGATTTGTTGTTTTACAGGATTTATGAGCGGGTGATAGACCCCCCCCAGATGGAGATCACTCCGGGCAGTGGAGTGTGGCTCGGCCAGCACAGCCACAAGCACGGCCTGTTCAAGGTAAGACTCCAGAAACAATACCCACATATACATTCCTTCCCCCATGTACGTGCTTCACATTCATGATCGCCTGGTATAATTGGCCAGATCTGCAGAAGGCTGTGTGAGGGAAGAGAGCCAAGTGGAAGATACAAGAAAGAAACACAGAGGCCTCTCAGAGGAGCCACAATAAAAGCTCAGCGCATGCTTTTGAAACACTTATTCCCTTGCCCATTATGACATTGACGATTTTTTATCACTGCTCATTTTCTCAGGCTCCTGCATGTGCTCACAGCGGGTAAAGGGATGTGGCTGAGTGTCACTGAGACATGCACACACTCCCAAATCCCTGCCTCTCTTTCCCACCTGCAATGCAATCAATGGACCTTTTATTTTTTCTCTGTAACATCCATGTAATATTGATTAGACACCAGACCCTGCTGTGGTGTAAATAATTGTGCTTTGACACTATCGCTGCTGCACATCAGCCCATTGTTCCTCCTCCCTCTACCTCTTCCTCCCTCATCCCCTCTCGCATCAAGGCTTCAAGGAGATCCTTCTTCTGGAGGAAATGTCTGGTCTTGAAAGACGCAGCTCCTTCATCGAGTTCATCTGCTCGGTGCTCAGAGTCTTTCTACACTCCTTGTGGGGAGGGAAGCACTCAAAAGTGTTTGTCAGCAGCAGAGACAGATGGTGTGGAAGTGTGTGTGCTCGTGTGAAGTGACAGAGAGAACGAGAGGATGTTTCCCTTTAGGTATACACTGGGATGAGATGGCATTTCAGCTGACAGGTGCACATGTAAAACCTTGGATCAAGGACCTGTTTCACACGGTATCAGGGACCATTTAGAGTAGTGGTTCTCAAATGGGGGTACGCGGACCCCTAGGGGTACGTTGGATTACTGCAGGGGGTAGGTGAGATTTCTTTTATGTTAATGAAATAAAACAACATCATTAATGCATTTAATCAAACTACTAATAGTAGATTAACTACTTTATTCAAAGGTTTACAGTAATTCTGGATAATAAAATGTGAAAAATAAACGGGGTGCTCTCTTTTCCTCTCCCTCTCCTGACAGCCCGTCAGTCTCGTGCAGCTCGCTAAACCTGTAATAAGTGACCCGACAGTAAAGAATACACATATGTATAACTAGTAGGCCTATAGCTAGTTCCAGAGTAGATAAACTAGCTAAGTGTGTTAGGTCTAACTCTTAGTGTATTTAATTTTGCTCCACTCAACGGTCCGTCACAGCGGACGGAGCTGTGATCATGCAGAGCTGCGTGTTCTCCGTCAGCAGCGGCTGATCTGATCTCTGATCTCTCTCTCGCGTCCGGTTATACTTCACTCGCGTTTATGTCCAAATCTATCAGATCTAGCTAGTTCTAGCTGATGATATGACTGCCCGCTTATCAAAGGACACCTAAACAATAAGCGTTGCTTGGCAACGGCTTGTGGCTGCAAAGTATAGCGCAGCTATATGCATATATGAGGGGTCAAAATCCCATGCTCATAAAATGCTCGTATCTTTTTTTCTCTTCATTCCCCACGCCTCAAAATAAATAAATTTTTAGGAAAAGTAACAAAGTTTGAGCAGTGTGGGTTTTATATTAACAGAGTTTCACATATTTCAAAACGCGAAGTGTGATAAAAGTTTGCCTCCCTGTCCAACACACTCTCACTCCATAATCGTCCAGGAGCGACGTTTGGTCAGGGTCCCGTGGCGTGCAGTTGTGACGCTCCTAGGCTCCTTCAGCTTCATAAAGGGACGCAAATAGCTTTCAACTGATTGCAATGTATTCCCATCTGCGGCGGGATTTGACGCTCATGGAAGCACGGCATTCGTTTGTGTCGGCTGCCCTTAAAGGCAATGTGAGCGTCCATTCCCACTGGATAACGGAGAATTGTAAACCTGGAAGTAAGTATTCCCCTTACTGTCGATTGATTTTACAGTGATGTCTGCACTACTCATCGACTAAAAAACACCAGATTATCCTTGTTAATTACACAACATTGATTGGTTTAAATTGTGTGCAATGGTTTTGTATTTTTCCCCTTCGATTCGGAGAAACAAATATTTTTTCGGAGTAAAGGATGGCAGAAGACACTACACTACCCAGAATCCCCAGCTATTGTTTAGGACTACACCTTGTGCTCTGTTCGACAAACCCCGTTCTTTTTGACCATTCATTCCAATGGCTGGCGTCTATGTCACGTAATC